CACATGAAGACACTATAACTTGCGCAAGTCTTTTGAACTAATCTTTCGAGAATTGGAAATCATGTCCCTTTTTTTTAATCCTTAGTGAATTTCATATAGACGTCATTATTAAATATCAAGTATCACGTATTAAGTGATCACTATATTCAAGAGACGCATTTCTTATCTTCATTTGCTACCAGATTAACAAATAACAGAAGATTTTCCTTTTCATCCACCACAAGATAAATCGGACTTTGGAAAAAACTTGTGCAACAAAGAGATTACTCGATAATCTTTTGCACAATCACCCCGCCAAAATCTAGCCGGTATATGACTTGCCAAACTTCTAGTTCGCAAGCAATTTCAATTCTAAGTACACATCGTCAAGTGTGTATTGCGTATTTTCATTTGTTGTGGCCAATAAGTTTAATATCTGCATTTACAACAGAGTTTCATTTCATGATCCTCATTTTCATTTACTTTACTGCTACAGCATAAGCAATTTTCATGTCGACATTTTATTGATGATCGATTCCACGTTCTTCGGTAATGAGATCTCACAATCATTAAGTTTCCCAAGTATTCATGCACTTCTTCTGGAGTAATTCACCGTAGTGGGAACCTATTCCAGCTCAAAATTCTTATGAATTATAATCACTCGTATTTGCTATTTCTATAAATTTAAACTTTGTTATTTACGAGGATTTTTATCATTTAGAATCTACCACTCATCAAATGGACATTCAATAATTGTGGTAGATGGTCCTACAAGAACATTATTTAAGATTTGGAACTTGACAGCCTTTCGCATGTAACTCACTCACATGTTTTGGTCAGTTAAACATCTGGTTTTAAAAGTTATCTCTTGAACTTATGTTCATGCTATATGTGCAAGGCATTCTTTTGCCATTAACAAATTTAGATCTTATTTTCTTCGAAACATGTAGATAGAAATGTCAATTAAATAATATCATTACTATGGAGGCCAAAAGACCACAACACCTTCAGGGTATTTGACATATTGGATATTTTCATCTCTAAATTTTAAATCAACTTCAGAGCGTTTAACAAAGATCGAATTGTGATTTGTTAATTCATTGTCGACAGGACTAATGAATTCGTCTATTTTCAATAATATATCGAAGATATCAATAAGATAATTGTGGGTATACAGAACATGTGAACCCAATAATTTTCTATGCCACAATGATAGCATTTGCAATATACTACTTTTTAACTTCAGATCAATAGTAGTTTTCTCACTATTTTTTAACTTCATTAGATAGTTAGTAGTGTATTTGTTAGAATCACCACTATCATTATTGCATGATCGTCACATTTACTTCAAGAAATGGACCATGTCTAAATTGAACATGTCTTCAAATTAATTCTCTAACTTCAGGTGAAAAATTGTATGTATACATAATTATTGTAGATTTGATGTCTACAATTTGCATAGAAATACTTTACTGCCCACTCACTTCGTAGAATGGAACGAAATCAATTCATAAGATTTCATCAAATATTTCGCTATAATGCTACTATTGGAGCATTTTAATATGCTTAATATGTTATCACAACATTAATACTTTAAGAGCAACTTTGATGTATTTATATATTGCTACTGGCAATATATTTACTTTCATTACTAAATATGAACATTATTATGAGCAAAGTAAAATATAAAAGTACAAAGAAAATATGAGAAAGGGATTAACTAATATCAATAAACGCGTGATAATAAAACAAAGTACTTTCCTTGCAATCTAAATATCAAAGAAATTAATTCTTTAAAGAAAACTTTTTTTTTCTCCCATGAATGCTATCACAATTATATGCAACTTATATAAGTTTTATACATTCACATTATCAACAGTCATATATATATATATATATATATATATATATGTATATATGTATATATCTTAAGAATTGCATCGTGATTGTATGATATGAGTAAATAGAATTTATAACAAAAAATATTTTTTCCTCATATGCAAACCAAATATGCATGTTTTATGATTTACCTTTTTCTCCCATCATCATCATCATTTTGAGTCATTAAATTGAACTCTATGATGAATCGTCTCAGTGCGGCTAGAGACTTGTGCACCGGAAAGTTTTTGAGGTTACGGCGCTTTAGATCGCGAAAATCTTTTAAAATATTAATTGATGTTTCAGGCCTTCAGAATCAATACGCACCAACTTCAGGTGATGGTAGAATTAAAATATTCATTGAGGCTTCATGCCTTCAAAACAATACGCACCAACTTCAGGCGGTGGTAGAAGCTCTTTTGCTAGAGTCTCGTGCTGATAACGTGTTATTAAATTTAATACGAAACTAGCATATGAAACTAAGCATAAGAACAAGAGAGGAGAGACAAGAGAGTAGAGAGAGATAAGAGACTTATATTCAGATATGTTTTAAAGTATGAATGAGCTTCCTATTTATATAAGAAGTAGGAGATTAAACTATGGGAAATGAATCACATCTCATTAATGCTAAATATTACAGAATCATATCTCCTTGATTGTAAATAGAATAATACATATGAACGTTCAATCAAATCAGATTTTTCCATAACAGTCTCTTATTTTTTTCAACAGAGTTTTACTTTGATCGAACCAAATTAATAGGGCAAGGGACTCTGGGCTCCAAGAAGAAGTAATTTTCTCAAGTAATATGTAATTATGTATGGTGCAAGCTTCATTTAATTCATTAGTTGTTCATTTAAGAAACGAAAAGGATTGATCTCTAACTTGCACCTCAAAGTACAAGATATTTCTTTTAGCCTAAGAAAATGATGAGTGATCCAATTTTAATTATAAACTATATCACTATTGATATGAAATTGTACAGGAGTAAAGATTGTTGATCATATCTATCTCTTAAAGAATGAATGAATGTGAATCATTTACTTTCTTGGTCTAAAAAAAAATTTATAGTATTAAATTTTCATATTTATATTAGAGGAAGAAATAGTCCGCAATAAAATGAAAATTCGATATAAATTATTTTTTTAGACAGATTAATTTTATGCTATTACGTGCTATTATTTCATTTCACACGATAGTTTATCAAGACATATTATTACAACTCAATTACAGGGAGTATAATGGAACTTTCTGGCTACAATTCAATTACTAAATTAAAGTCGAATCCACTTTTATACAGATTCATTGGTGCCTTCTCGATGACGAAGACTTCTTATTTTCCAGGAATACCAATTCAAACCAAGAAACTAAAAAATATTTAAAGCTTCTATGATAATGATATATAATGTTTTTAATTGATTAACTTTTCTTACCAGTATAACAGTTGACTATTAACTTTTCTTACCAGTATAACAGTTGACTTAACATCCAGTCATCCACTAACTAAATAATTTTTTCATATATTTATTTATAATTTATTAATATCAACAATCAAACAATAATAAAAAAACCGTTATTTGGTCTTGATGATCAAGTTTTTTGTAAACTGCATTCATCAAGGAAAAACCAGAACACAATTTGTTCTCTCATGGCTGCTCATCAGTTGATGTTTTGCCTAACAATATTTCTCTCAGTTCTTTCGTGGCCTGTAGAATCTGCTGATCCTGATCCTTTACAAGATTTCTGCATAGCAGAACTGAAAGATCCCATTCCTGAGAACGGTTTTCCTTGCAAACCAGCCTCCAAAGTGACTTCAGAAGACTTTTTCTTCGATGGACTTAGCAAAGAAGGAAACACAAGCAACGCCTACGGATCAAGCGTCAGCCGGGGTAACGTGCTCGCGTTTCCAGGGCTAAACACACAAGGGATGTCGATGAACCGGGTGGACTTAGCTCCGGGAGGAGGAATCAATCCGCCTCATTGGCATCCGCGGTCCACTGAAACGGGTATAGTTATTGAAGGTAAAATCCTCGTTGGTTTGGTGACGACTGGAAATACTTACTACTACAAGGTTTTGAACCCCGGAGAGATGTTTGTCGTCCCTCGAGGACTTATGCACTTCCAGATGAATGTTGGGAAAGGTAGAGGACTGATATTTACTTCATTTAACAGCCATTTGCCTGGATCTGTCCCTGTTGGTACGAATCTCTTTAGCGCATCGCCGTCCATCCCGGATGTAGTGTTAGCCAAAACCTTCCACATTGACCATAGTATTGTTGATGGCATCAAGTCCAAGTTTGGAGTTTAAGGTCGGTATGAAGTTTGGTTTTTCTTTGTTCTTTTTTCTTTCTTTTTTTTTTTTTTTTTGGTGTGTGTGTACTGATTTTGCTCCAGAAGTGGAAAAGATATATGTTGAAAAGGTAAGAAAGTTATTCAGAAATCTGAAAGTGTGTACTAAAAATGGAGTCGAAGCAGAACAAAACCAAGATGCAATTATAAGAACAGGTGTTCCGTAATCATAGTAACTAGTGAGTTTCATTTCAGAATTCATATACCGCATTCATCGCACTGAGTTTTTGCCATTCCAGTGATTTTGTAGTTTCTCTACCAATCAGAGTATTCACCTGTCTCGGTTTTACCTTTGATTTTGATTTTTACATCAAGCATATAACAAAATGCAATGGAAATGTAGAAAGTTACAGCGAAACCAAAAGACAGAATCAAAAACTACAAAATTAGGAGGGCCAATGAAGCAACAATTATTATCTTTCTGAATTGACATAAATGAACATAGCAAAAATTATATTTCCATCATAAAAGAATCAGTATCAGCTACAACTTACAACAACACATACTACTGACACAGTTTGTTCTAAGATGTTAACACAAGAAATACAACAAATTAGTCAGATATCACAACACTGCCCATTCCTTAAAGTCCGAAATAGCAAGTGTAACAAGGTATTTCATCTATGTGGGAGTGGTAACTTATCTGAAATCCAATAACTGAATCTTCTGATGAAGATAATGAATTGGCTGTAAACTGGCAGCATAAATTCATCGTAGCAATCAATTAGCATAAACCTGCTATAGACTGCTTTCAAAGCTGCCACCTATCTGCTATAGTGTGCTTGCAAAGGTACCACCAACTTGCATATGTAACCATGCTGGATTTGTGCCTTGAGGATGTTCCCTTGCAGTTTGTGGCCCGAAAATTGTCATCGTAGCAGATGCATCAAATGATGGACCTGCAAGCTGGAATCATGCCAAATCAGTAAAATTGATGGAAAATTACTGAAATAGTTAAAAGTACTGAAAACATGAAAGGAACCATGAACTATTGTTTTGCTGGATGATTCTTTGGAAGAATTGAACAATTTGAAAAGAAGCTCAACAAACAGTAAGGAAAGATAACTTCAGAAACAGTTGAAAGTTACAATATAAATTGATACAGTGACAGGATAAAAAGAAGAGCAGCGTAGATGGAAATTAAGAGGATTCATTCACCCAGCGCATAAGAAAAAGGATATTTGTGCCTATGCAGGTTTAGGATGATGCTCCTTAGTTCATAAATTCTTTCCTCATTCCTTGATTTACATTCCAAACTTGTTCCATGCATAATTCAGTTATTAGGTGTGAAATAGAAGTGCAGTTTCAATAACTATTCGTAAAATTGGAATATGAAATAGAGAGATAAAAAATGACATAGCACACCATGCTACTGATTGGGCCTAGGCCATGAAAAAGTAAATCAAGCTTGTAGGAAACAAAAAGAGTGAAAACACAAGTTATTGAAATTCACTTTCCATTTTCACCCTATTTTCTCTACTCTGCACATTTGGACAAGGATGCTCGGCATTTATAACTTGAAACCCAGCATGCTAATCTGAGCAGATTGCCCTCAAATTCTATTGAATTAATTAAACAGGATAGAGATACATTGGCTAATGGAAATGCCACACTCATAAAGAACCAATCTGACTAACTGTGCCTAACTTAATTCATCTACTTCTGCAAATTTTTAGTAAAAGTATACTGTGATCCATCTCCAGCATTTCCAGACTTTTTGTTGTATACAAAAAGGGGTAAAACACAATAACAATGAAAATATCTCAACAAGAGGCTATGAACAGATATTTTTCAGCAACCACATTTCCTATGCATTCTGCTCCCTACTTGTTTCAACAATACCCAAAACCCAAAGTAGAGAATACATTACTTTGTTCCATTGGCAGCTTTCTCTCATGCTAAACCCACCAAAAATTCCCCCTCCCCTTTTCCTGTAAAAGGCTGCAGCATTGAACTGTACCGTATATTACGACTTCATACATGAAGCTATTCACCACAATTCTCCTTTTCAGCCTTCATTATTGAGTAGCGAGCCAGACAATAATATCAGCAAAAGCATTTGAGGAAAGTGGAGATGGATCAACAATAATTGATTTTCCATATCTTGTATTGCAGCAAAAAGTAACCAACATTGACACCTCTCTTTCAAGCATCCTCAGCTCTTTGAATTTCGAGAAAAGCCATGTGGTTTGGAATCAACTTCGAGTAGCTGCCAACTTGTCTACTTAAGGTTGCATTTCCATAGAATATGGCATACTAAGGATTGTGATTGAAAACATAACAGCTAACTTTGTCGAGAGGGAAGCAAAAACAAGGGGGAAAAGAGGAGGTAAAGAAAGACTAGAAACTGAAATTTCACTTGAAGCAATTTGGCAACAGAACATATAAGAACTAGACTAGAAGTGGTTTTTGCCCAAATTGTGTAATCATGTGCAACAGTTAGCTGAGCCGTATAGCTAATAGCCACCTCTCTTTTTCTTCCAAAAGAATCTGTTCTTTCTGGAGATCGATAGATCTCCAACAAACAAAATTCCTTTACTCCCCCGTATTAAGTGGTATATCTCATAAAAGTTCATGTCAATTGAAACGTAATTAATATCTGGGACATCTTCAGAAAAACCAAGGGACCAGACACTTAAAGGTTAAAACTAAATGATTCAGTTGAAAGGAAAAGAAAGGCTGAGAAGAGATACAAGGAAGATCAATATGGCCGCATAGAGTAACAACAAGTTAATAAGGAGAAGCCTAATAAGAAATTTAGACTCATGCAATAGACCAATAAACCGCAGTTTCAAGTAATATCACTTACATCTTTGGAAGTATAATCTTCTAGATGGTTGATTGTTCCATTCACTGCTTCGAGCTTCATGGACAAGAACTTTAACATGGAGAATGAAAAGGTTATTTCAGATGGATTATTTGGAATAAGACTAATCTTAGCATTGGGTACAAGCAGAGAAACATCAATAGTACCTCAACTTGACGCTGAAGCGACTGGACATAGTTGATTATTTCATCAAGTACTGAGGCTTTTCCAATTACCTGTTGAGTAACATTTTGATTTCTTAGAGATTAACTAAAGAATTGATGAATCACAATGAATTTTAAGGAAAACCCCCAAATGATTAAGTAGATATATGCAATCAAGATCTGATTATAACTAAGAACTTCATAATCCATAAAAAATTGGACTAAGTTGTACCAAATAATAGATTCACACATTTGAAATAGTGAAGTGCAATTCATACTAGGCCAATTAGATGGATGCCACAAACCTTATTACAGCCAGGAACCAGATCTTGTAAAATTTTCATCCTCTCGCTGATCTTTTCTCGTCTAGCCTAATCAAGTCATGGAAATTCATCAGCAATTGTAATATCTTCACATAAAGACACAAAATCAGAAGTAAAGGCTTTACTCTCTCAGCTAGACTGTGACTGTCCGTAGCTTGTCCTCGCCTTGCTCTGACATGGATGTAGTCTTTAGGCGGCTCAGGTTTACCGTTCTGCTCACTGGGCTTATTACCAGTCTGTGAGCTTGTTTCCCCTTCTGCTTGTGGATCACAATCCTGAACTCTGACTCCCGATGGCTTCATCTTCTTAACATCAAAATCATCCTGATAATGCATATGCATCACCATCCTAATGGTTAAATTCACATCATCAACGACAGACAACCAATCTGAATACGGGAAAAAATCTGGAATTTAAAACACTCCATGCTACAAATCATTTCTTGCTTCACAAGTACAATGAACAGGGCCGATAGTTCATTTTCGTGCAAAAAAATTCTAAAATTCTGGGAAAAATTGAAAGTAATGTGTCCAAATCTATGTGTACACAACGGTAAATCTCCCAAATACAAAAGTTTTCAACTCAAATTCAGCCGCCCAAAACTAAACTACTACAATAAAATACCAGAATTCTACCAACAGAATTTACTGACATTACTAGGTAGAAGAAAAATCACAAACTCACCAACCCATTTCGGCTGCTAGTGGAAGCAAGTCTGGCGGAATCATCCTCACAACCCAAATCCTTCCTCTTTCTGAAGCCAGGTCCGGCCTTACCACCACCACCACCACTCCGGCTCCCGCTAAGTTCCGTTACAGTAGATTCATTTACAGAAATTGCAGCCCCATTGAAGCCGCTCATGCTCCCCATTCTCATCCCTAAAGCTCCGATCTCCCTGGCACTGTTTCCTGGGATCGGAAACGGCCAAAGTTCAGCTAGACTGTATGAAGAAGGATTTGCAGCTGAAAATGAGGCTTCATTCACGATTGGTGGATCCATTTTTTTTTCTGGGTTATTTTTTTCTTACAATTCTGCAGGCATGTCGCAATAAATAATCAAACATGAACATAAATTAAAGAAATGGGTGTCTGTAAGAGAGTGAGTTAGACTGTCGGAATTGGAGTTTTTTTTTGGATCAGCTAAGGCAGTGGTGAGAGAGAAGTGAGGTTAGAAGTGTTTCCTGGGAAAAAAATTATTACCGTTATAAGAATTTGGTTAAGGAGCAGTGGAAGGACAGTAACTTTGTGGTTAAACTAGGGACAATAACGGGAACTAAGGACAGTAACATAGGCCAGTCAGAAATATAATATACATTGTAAATTATAAATTGCAGTATTCGTTTTAATACATATAGTTTATAATACGTGACAGATAATGTATAAAGAGTGCATTCGGGGCGGAACTAGGGCTCAAGTAGTGGAGGTGCTCTAGTTAAACCCTACACTGATCATTTAATATTTCCATGAAGTTCAATAAATAACACATTTTCTGAAATATTAACAACAATATAAAGAAGAGTGGGGTTTTTGTTTTTTAACCTAGAAAATGAATTAGAAAAGAGGGAGCGGATTTATAGTTATACCTGTAAGAATTTCCACAGGATAAAGTTCAATTCTAAAAAACCCAAAAGATAATGATTGGTACAAGAAAAATTTTACAATGAAAAATAACAAGGATAGATCGTAACCATTCATTTCTTATACTTTTCATTTAGGGTTTAGACATTTAAGGTTTTAATGATAATTTTGATGATTGAGATCTCATTTCTTGTAAGTTTTTTATGTATATATACTCAAAAGTAAAATAAAGTCAGAATCAAAAAAGAAAAAAAAAAACAAAGAAAGAAAAGGAAAAGGACAAGATGGAGAGAGGGAAGGAAATGTGGGTTGGTAAGGCTCCTAATTCGGACGGTGCAGTTTGGATGAATTCGGTTCGAGTTAATCGGATTTTTCCCTCACGAAACTCGCTCGAAAACGAACCGAAAAATCTATTGCACCGAACCGACTTGACTAATTAAAAACTCAGGTTAATCGGTTTAGTTTTCGGGTCAACTGAAATTAATACACAGAAATGATATTCAGTCTCTTTTTCTTCTGAATTCAACAGCCCTACTCAAAATTCAACTACTCGAAATTTAACATTCGACACAAACATTCATATCAATTCAAGAAGAAAGCAAAAGAAATAATGAACCAGAAGAAAAAAACAACAATAATTTTCATAAAGCCAAAAATAAAAAACAACAATCTCAACTCTCAAGATTCCCAAGCCTTCAAAAATCCAGATCTTGAACAAAGAGGGAGAGATCGAGTGAAGCACCAGAACGAGTCAAAATTCAGATCTGGAACCAACTTTCTCCTCCTCTTTCTTTCTCATTTTTGCGCGGTCGTTTTTTTCTTCTCGTTCTTCTGGTGGACGGTGGCGGTCGTTTCTCTCTTCTCTTTCTTCTGGCAGACGACGGCAAATCAGATTGCATCCTTCTTTTTGGGCGAGTGATGATGGCGGGAGACAGTGGAGATTTGAAGATGAAGAGATTGATATTGTTGAGATTTGGATTTTGGAAATGGTAATTGAAATTTGAAGAATTAAGATAAAGATGATGTTGGGAGAGGGTGGCAGCGGGCTGTAGGTTTTTTACAAAGAAAGAATCAAATAAATGAGGTGGGAAGGGGAATTGGTAGGGTTAGTATTTTTTTAATATATATATATGTTAGTTTTTTAATTAATAGTTTCGGTTATCGGGCAGGGGCCGAACTAGTTTTTTTCTGCCCGCACCGCACCGAATTGTCCATTCAGTTAATCGGGTAGAACCGAAAATCCCGAAATTAACTTGATCATCTGAACCGTTTGCCCTGAAACAGGTTCGGCCCGGGCGGGTTTTCGGGTTCACCCGATTAACCGTAACCCTATGGGCTGGGCTTGGCCAATAAGGTAAACTGAATAGTTTTTGAAAAACCCAAGTCAAACATAACAACACAGGATTTTAGTAAGAAAAAATAGAAGTTGAGCCCAAAACTGTTCATCGCCTTCTCTGCCATCATCCCTGAAACTAGAAATGCTCCACCGACATATGGGAGCGAACATACCAGAAAAATTTCCCAGGCCTGCGGGGGTGCTCAAGCCTACCCGAGTCCATACACAGGTTTGCCCCTGCATTGCTTTTAAATAGATTAGTCTAGAACGTAACAAACTTGTAACGACTGATAATGGATTATTAGTTACAGAAAAGCATCACAATTAACTCTGTATTTAGTAAGAAATTGGGGGTATTTCCAATTATTAGTGCATTCTACTTAACTGGTTTTCGTGTTTTTATTAGGTTGGGGTTTGATTGAACAATTGCTGAAAAATTGAGGCCAAAGGAACAAATTGTGGGCTGCTGAGACAATTTTTGCTGAGCTGGACGAAAAAGTACCTCCCAAAACAAGAAGCATCTTGCCATTAATGAGTATGTCTCTCATTTGAATTCCAAGAGGCACGCTTGTCCCTCAGCCGAAATTCCAGCCACCCCTGCTGATCAATGAGATTAATGCTGCCACTACTGGAAGAAGAAAAGAAGACCAGTCAAGTTTGGATTCCAGGCACAAGGCATAGGGAGGATTAAACAATTCACAAGCATGGGAGACTCTCATGATTAAAGAACCGGCTGCAAGGCTCTATAAAAGGGGAACTTCACTCTCAGAAGAAATCACCTCTCTGGTTACCCTTTCAGTTGCCAAAAACACACAGAAAAACTCCAGGAAGAAGGCAAGAAGGAAGAAGGAGCAACACCCACTCAGTAAGGAAGCCAAGTTGAAGAACAACCGTCCCAGTTTCTGCTTCAGTTCCATGAGTGAACCCCTTCACTCTCAGGAGTGGCTCAGAACTGCACAAGCTTTTTTTCTCGTCTCTTGACTGTTAGCTTGAACTTCATTTATTATACATACTTCTATGATGTCTGTTGATGTAGTAGAGGTAGCATTAATCTGCATGAGTAGCTAAGCAGCTTCCAGGGGTTATTCTCCTCAACCTATGTTGTAGTTGTGTAATGCACTGGTTCTGTTCCTTGTTTTGAAGTTGAAAGTTTTTCTACATTCATTTACTTGATCACTAAATTGAATGCATGCTAGAACTAAGGGAGATCTGGAAAGATAAACTTAGTTTGGACTGTTTCAACTTTAACTTATGACATAGAGGTAACAGTCTATGGTTTTAACTGAGATAGGAATATACTTAGTTAACATAAGCATTCTTGAAGGCCTAAGAACTTAATGACTTTGTATCTGGAATCAATCATTAAAAAATAGATTGTTAAGGTTGCAAAGATGACTTTAGAAAAAATGAGAACTGACTTAGAGTTATAAGTGAGCTGAATGAACAAGAACTCAACCATTACAGTGCTAATAAACAACTACAACAGTAGGAAGAGGAGATGAACACCGCTGGCTCTCATTCCCCTGAGTGATTGTTTCTATTCTCCTGAGTGACACCTTGTCTGACTGGTAGTCTTGTTTTAACAACAAATTTGGTAATTAGCTGTCCTCGTGGGATCGACCTAACTTCCATTATCTACAAAAATCATAATCCAAGCTAGTAATATTTTTGGTGAACTCGGCACGAACCAACGACCTAATTCACCGATCTGCTTTTATATGTCACAATTAGTTACGAGTTGAGTCGTCCGTTGGCCTCTCGCCCAAGGCGCATTAATTTCATTTACTTTTAAGTATACATTCTAAAACAACTTCATAAATTTTATGGAATCATATAGCTTCCAAATGCTAATTCCAAACATTAACTTAACATTCTCAGTAAAACTTATTTCATGTTACAATCTATCAATTACAACATTCTGTAGACGGTCTTCTTTGACAGAACGCTTTCTTTCAACTCATCTACATCTGTTCTAAACTTGGGAGTGGGAATAGGGAAATAAAATACAAAAGGGGGTGAGCGGCGACTTCAGTAAAATTCTCACTATACAAGTACGATACTTTTAATAAAACTGTTTTGCTAAAGAAATATTTAAAAGTAAAACAATTTTGCATAAAGTCATCCAACAATTAACTATTTCACATTAAACAATTAACAATGTGGTGGATACGGGAAAATCTTAGCAAGGACTGTCAAAGAGCTTACGTGGCGCAATGACAAATTCCAAGACAGATTTCAACAATACGATAACGATAACGATTTAATGTCAATAACAATTCCTCCTCAACATCTCGTGGTCACCAATGAATATCGTGAGTTCCGCGTCCATCCCGACAACACGATAAGCCTAGGTAAGCTAACATGGCGACCAACCCCGATGCCGGCCCTCAAGACTTCGCCTAACAAAGGCAGGGCCTAGGCTCCAAGTGAACAGAGTCCACCGAAGCAACAATCATGCACACATTATTGCATAAGAATGAATTAATACAATAATAATGATAGGTGACATATGTTGCTTCTGGTGGTGTACTTTATCACCTCAGGACACCTATCGCCTTAGTGATAAAGTACACCACCATAAGTAACATATTCAACGATCACACTCAATTAAATAACCAGTCGACAATAACGTTCAATCATATAACAATATCACTTTATCTCAGATACGATAACACCAAGGGTAAGTTGCTAGTTGTTGTGGTGCATACTGCAAACAAACACATTTTACCGTTTGTATTTGCCGTTGTGGATGAAGAAACCATTGAAAGTTGGACATTTTTCATAAAGAGCTTGAGGTATTATATTGTGTGTGCTAGAGTTGTTAGTGTGATTTCCGACCAGAACGTTGGGCTTTTGAGGGCAATGTCTCAAATCCTAGAATGGAGTGATTTAGGGGATGGAGCCCGCATGTCTTGCCTCTGGAATGTTCACAACAATCTAGTGTCGAAGTATAAGAGTTTGAAAGTGCTGTGGTTATGCCAAAATACGGAGAAGATGCTGAATTTTGAAAAATTTAAGTGATTGAGGGAAAAGCTCCGTGAATTCAATCTTGAAACATGGGCGTATCTTCGAGACATAGGGGGTGT